GCTGCCAGGCAGAAGTGCTAACCATTTATTAAAAAAATTATGTAAAATTACTTTTAGTGAGCATAAACACAATATAAAAATATATAATTTAAATGAAAACTTTGTGTAAAAAAAAAATGTTTTTGTCATTTTCTAAAAACTTATGGAGAATAAATAAATCTTCCCTGGACTCAATATGCATCTCAGCAGATAGCTTAGGGTGTCTATTTTCCGAAAAAGGGTCATTTGGGGTGTTTGTACTATCCTGGTATTTTAGAACTTCAAGAAATGTGACGGGCAGTCAGAAAGTAAAAGCTGTGTAAATTCCATTATCTATACCATAGTTTGTAGATGCCATAACTTTTACACAAAGCAATCAATATACACTTATTGGGGGTTTTTTTTAACCAAAAACATGTAGCAGAATACATTTTGGCCTAAATGTATGATGAAATTTGAGTTTATTGGATATTTTTTATGACAGAAATGAGAAAATATTGTTTATTTAAAAAATAAAATGTTTCAAAAAAATTTTTGTTTATAGTGCCAAAAATAAAAAGCACACAAGTGATCAAATACCACTGAAAGAAATCTCTATTTGTGTGAAAAAAAGAAGCAAATTTAATTTATGTACCCTATTGCAATTGTCAGTTAAACTAGTGCAGTGCTGTATAGCAAAGAAATGGCGTAAATTGCAGTGTCTATACCATAGTTTGTAAATGCTATAACTTTCACACAAAGCAATCAATATACACTTATTGGGATTTTTTTTACCAAAAACATGTAGCAGAATACATTTTGGCCTAAATTTATAACTAACTTTGAGTTTACTATATATTTTTTACAGCCAAAAGTAAAAAGTATGGGTTTTTCTTCAAAATTTTTGGTCTTTTTTTCTTTATAGCATGAAAAATAAAAAGCACACAGGTGATCAAATACCACCGAAAGAAAGCTCTATTTGTGTGAAATAAGCATTGCATGTCCGCGCAATTATCAGTTGAAATAGTGCAGTGCCAAATAGCAAAAAGAGGCCTGGTCATTAAGGGGGGTAAATCCTCAGGATGGCAAGTGGTTAACTGTGAATTATGGCCCTAGAATTAATGTTCACCCTCCATTGTTCACGGCAAAGCCTCTTGTGTGGCACAGTTGTTGTTTACATACACATGCTCAACCTGCTTGCATTTGCGTGTGTGCTCTGGGCAATGGGGGTGCTTTGAATGCTTTAATTACTTTCATTTATTTTATTATAACATTTTAAAAACTGTTTTTATAAAATTTATTGCTGTCACAAGGAGGCCAACAATCCCCTTATGTGACAAGATGAACAGATAACAGATTTTCTTTATGGCTGATTATCTGCTTCCTTGGGCCATAGTTGGACAATGAATGATCTGCAATTGGAAATGATAAAATGCTCATCACTTACTGGTTTATTCATCACAGAGGAGATTGGGAAACAGATGTTCCTCAATCACCTCCCAATCTCCACCATGGAAAAAAACAAGAGCTTGGAAACCACCATGAGTAATAGCAGGGGAGAGGGGTTGCTGCATTCTCAATTCTGTAAAAGCATTTGGGTAGTAGAAGAGCCATCCAAATCTCTTTCACTGAAAAACTGATTGCCTGCTGACAAAAACTATAGCAAGCTCATATGTAAATAGCTTTATGGACATCAAGTGGTTAAAGAAAGCAGGAGCAAAAAGGCAGCTTCCTCCACAGTACAATTTTTCATGTCATAGCAACCACTTCAGCCCTAAGCTTATTCTGACTCTTCTCTCCTACATGTAAAAATAAGCATTTAGTATGCTGTAAAATTACTTATATCTCCAAAATTATATATATATATAGTCTTTTTTTTAAGCAGAGGCCTTAAAGAATAAAATTATGGGTGTTGCAATTTTTTATGTCACACGATATTTGTGCAGCGGTTTTTCTAATGCAGTTTTTTTTTCGAATAATACATTTTTAATGAATTTTAATGCACAAAACATAATATGATACCCAACTGTTTGGTAAAACATAACCAATATTTACCCACAATGTGCTGTCCTCTCTTCCCTCCCTAATGAGATGATCGAGGGTGTTCTGGTCCTCTATCATCTCTAGGATAAGCCAACAAAACAGCCAATCATTGAGATCACATAATCATAAAGCTGACCCCGCCTCCTGGCATCTGAAACCCCTTTAAGGTCTGGAAGACGCGGGAGCCAAGGGGTAAGGCTTTCTCCATTTACAGCTCTTAGAACTGTAGTCACACCAGCGTAGCAAGGGTTACTCCTCCACAGGTTTAGCAACAGTTCTAGCACAGCTCCATAAAACACAGAAACATCAATCCTGCTTCTTCAAGCTCATGGGAATGCTCCTAGAGTAACTCTTAAAGCGGAACTGCAAATGTGAGGTCATCATACTAGGGGCATTCCCAGGAAGCAGGATTGATCTGTATTAGCCACAGAGAGAACTGTGTATGGGAATTTGAGAAATTTGAGAAATTTGACTGCCTATGTGAATGTGAGTGTTTGACGAGCTGTGCTGGAACTGTTGCTAAACCTTACTGATTGTTGCTGATGTTTTTCAAAATTAACCTCCCTGGCGGTATTCCCAAGTGTAGCTCGGGGTAAAGTTTCAGTACCACAAGCGGTAACCCCGAGCTACATCGGGCTTACCATGCGGCGCTGCTCCGCGATCCCTCGATCACTTACCTTGTCCTGCGCTCCCCGCGATGTCCCTCCTGCAGTGTCCGGCGGGTGCCGGCATCTGTCATTTGGGTTCCGTCTCCTGCGAGTGTCAGGACGTACGGGGGAAGGGAACGGCAGGAAATTTGAAAACGACAATTTTGAAAGTGACATTCACTAAAATCACATAGTAAAACATTACTGTATCAAAGCATTTCACATACATTTTATCCCTAGTGCTTTGTCCTGTGCCCTGCCTGAATTTTTACTGTTCTTTCTGCCTGGAAACTGAGAAACGTCCATGGCGTCCAAAAAGCGTCCCTTTAGGTCAAAAGTGGTTTTAGACCAGCTATAGAACAGCGATAGTAAATTAGAACTACTTGCAGGATTCAGTGATAATGATTCGTGGGGAAATTCGTCATCAGACACTGAAAACGATTTTGCGACTTTGCTCAGTGATGTGCGAATTTGGCGCTATATTTCAAATTTCAGTGTTTTTGATTTGATTATATTATTGAATTAAATTTATTATTATTATATTATTATTTTTTATGATTGTTTATTAAATTATAATTTATGATTTCGTGTTTCAAGTTTTATCCTACCCAGAATGTTTACTAGACTCTTGTTCGGACAGATTTCAGTGAGTTATTCCTAAAAATTACAGGCCTATAATAAAAAAAAATACATATTTCCAAGCAAAAAAATGTACCGCTTTGAGCACAGAAATATGGAAATAATCAGACCGCTAGGGAGGTTAATGCATTACTTTCCTTTTGTTTTTTTGTGTTTTATTAAAATAAGAATATTTTTTTCAAGGAGAAAAAAGAAAGCAGACTCCTTGGATAAAATAATACCATCAATCTTTCAGTGCTCTCAGATAAAGGGTGTGTTACTTACTGAATGACAGGATACAAAAGTTTGCATTTTATGTTTTATTCACAACTGTATACAGAGCTTTACAATAATGAAAAGAATAGTGTTAGAGACTACAACTCTCTTATGCTTCAAGGACAGCTTACTGCATTAACATAACATAATTACATACAACCAAGGTTTTGCACAAAGAGGGCTGTTTCTCTTAAATTAAAAGGGGGTTTGTTAAGGGAACTTTTAAATTAGGTTCTATTTATAATTTTTTTCTATAACAAACAATGAATGAAACAGTCCCAATCGTAAAAAAGGCTGACATAATATTACTGCAAAGAATTACAATGCACAATAAGACCGCATGACTGATCAAATTATTCATCTCAGAGTTATGTTTATGAGAAAATGTTGCCAGAACGTTATACAGTATATACAGTATAAGCTACAATATAACATATTACAGCAAGACTGTTGACTTCCTATGGAACATTCAAAAATGCCAGTTTTTTTATTAACTATGCATAAAGATCCATGCAATCTACCAATATTAGCCAAGTACTTTGAAACTGAATAAATCAAAGGAACCCAACCCAAGAAATCCATTTATACCAGGTCTTCCAAAAAATAAAATGGGCAACCCTACAGTGTTGGATTAGTTTCTCAATGTCACAAAATGAGGTGGATCCTCCCACAGACTATAGAATGTGTTCAATTAAGCATGAACAGAAAACAGTCAAAGTTGTAAAGAAAGGTAACTAGAATTAACAGATACCCAAAGATGAGCCAAGGGAGGATGAAAACAGATCAGAAAACAAGCCAGAATTAACCACTAGCCTACAGGGCACTTATACCCCCTTCCTGCCCAGGCCAATTTCCAGCTTTCAGCGCTGTCACACTTTGAATGACAATTGCGCGGTCATGCAACACTGTACCCATATGAAATTTTTATGATTTTTTTGAGACAGATAGAGCTTTCTTTTGGTGGTATTTAATCACCTCTGGAATTTTTATTTTTTCTTAAACAAACCAAAAACCACTGAAAATTTAGAAAAAAAAATGTTTTTTCTTAGTTATTGTTATACAATTTTTGTAAATAAGTGATTTTTCTCCTTCACTGATGTGCGCTAATGAGGCTGCAGTGATGGGCACTGATAGGCTGCACTGATGGACACTGATAGGTGGCACTGATGGGCACTGATGAGGAGGCACTGGTAGGTTGCACTGATGGGCATTGACAGGCATCACTGATGGGCACTGAAAGGCAGCACTGATACATGACACTGATATATGTCACTGATAGGCGGCACTGATAGGCAGCACTGACTGTCACTGTTAGACGGCACTGACTGGCACTGATAGGCGGCACTGACTGGCACTGATAGGCGGCACTGGTGCGCACTGATAGGCGACACTGACTGGCACTGATTGGCAGCACTGATAGGTGGCACTGATTGGCATTGATAGGTGGCACTGACTGGCACTGATGGGTGACATTGAAAGGCAGTTCAGATGGGCACTGATATGTGGCATTGATGTGCACTAGTATGCACTAATATGTGGCATTGATGTGGCACTGATGGGCACTGGCACGTGGCACTGATGAGCACTGACTGCTGGCACTGATGGACACTGACAGGTGGCACTTCTGGGGCCACACTGATCATCAGGGCACACTGATCATCAGTGCCCTGATGATCAGTGTACATGTCTCCTCCACGGAAAGCCGATTACCGCTGACAGCTCGAGAGGAGAGAAATGCCGATAACCGGCATTTCCGTGTTTACATGTGATCAGCTGTGATTGGACACAGCTAATTACATGACCGAGCCGACATTTTCGCTCTTTCCGTGACACGCTGTGTCCGGGGGACACAGCGCATCGGCGATCGCCGCGCGCTGCACGCTCCCTGAGCCGCGCAAGCGCGGTGAGAATGGAAGGATGTCATATGACATCCTATCAGAAGGAGAGAACCACCTTGCGCCCGTCATTGTACTATATGGCTGGCGGAAGGTGGTTAAAAAGGTAACAGTATAATAAACAAATCTGGTAGATTAGCTACTCATTGGGTGCTCTGATATCAATATAAGCTCTACTGGCCAGATGTGTACTGCAGCATGGCTATTTCACATTGCTGAATATTGTTCAGCACATGGTGAGGGCAAGCTTCTAGATACAGCAAATCTAAGCATTTTATGAGGAAGGCAATATGCAGGAGAAAAAAGAAAAAATCCTTTCTCATGATATACAAGTGCCACATGTAGATTGCTACACTTAAATTTCAGTGTCTAGTTTACAGCAGTTAACAATTCCTTCAGAGCTGGAGAAGGAGTCTCTACAAGAATGTTGTAAATTTCAAGAAAGTGTGGTCATCTAAATTCAGGTTATCAAGATAATTAAGAACACGTTGCCTGCATATTGGGTCATCTAGGTGTACATATGATTATCTTTAAAAATGTGGGTTATGTCCAGATTTTTCCTATTATCTGCACAGTTGGGAAAGAAGATAATTAAATATTTTTAGATTCCAAATTTGAGTGAAGATTTTTGTCACCTTTGTAAGTTATGTCATAGGAGATAGGATAGGATGTAACTTCATCTTCCTCAACCATTTTCCTTAATTCTGCACATAAAAATTATATCCACTTTTTTTAAACTCCATCATATGCCAAAATTGCATAAAGCTTTCCACAAAAACACCTATTCTAAATTGTTGCATGCTTTTGTGGCATTCTGCACAAAAGCTTCTCTGAAAGTGAAGCCTAAGCAGGCTCTGCATGATCTCCTCATTCAAAAAATATTTTATAATGAGATTGTATACCATAGTTAATCCTTTATTTTCAAATTAGGATTGTTGTTCTGTGGCTGAGATAAACTCAATACAGAGCTGGCATCTGGGACTAGGGAAATCATGTATGTTGTGGACCTGATGCAGAGCTCCCTTTGTGAAGTGGACATAAGAAATGCCCAATTTTGGTAATGCCTTTAACCATCCTAAAAGATGACACTGTTTGTAAGTTGTAAATTATTATTAAAGGGGTAAAACCCTCTATTTTATTTTGTGTGTAAATAATGTTCAGTCAAATATAATAATGTATTTGACTTCCAGCCAGAGGAATAATATCCTGATGTGTCCAGAACTCCAGCACCAAGAAGAGTGGTCAGTGAACTCCACTCTTTGGTTGTTGAAAAGATTAGTTATTCTAAGATCCCAATTCAAAAAAAACATTCTAGGGGGGCGCATGCGCAGCCAGGGATGATGGCAGACGTGTTCTGCTGAGCTCCGCTCATCCCCGGCCAGGAGTGACTCACCCGCACCGCACTACAGCTGATCCTCTGCCTCGGGTGAGTCACGTTTATCCAAGCACCCGGCCCAGCACCAGGGAGAGGCTTCTATGGGGAAGATAGGGCGCTGGAAGCCCCCCTCCCCGCAGCCTCAGGACCCGCGGCCCTTGCCTCTGCGGCGCTTCCTATATAGGCCGCAATCCCCGGCCTCTAGTGAGAATAGAGGTCCGAGGACCGATCCCGGACCTCTAGCGGCCGCGGAGGGTACTGCACCCTGTATAATTCCAGCACAGCTGCAAACCTCTGCTCCGATCCTTCCACACATGGGGGATCATGACCCCCAATTGACAGCAGGAGAGGCTATGGACAACCCTACTCCAGGGGTCTCCCAGCCCCTGGTCTGAATCTTCAGCAGACAAAGTCGTCTCCTCTGCTCACAATCTCCGCGTTAGACGACAAGCTGCAAATTTTTTTACGAAACATTACCGCCTCTATAGCCGCTGAAGTGGGAAAATTGGCTAATGAGCTCAGAGGGGAAATAGCCCAGATTGGGGACCGCACGGATAAGCTGGAAAGTAAGTTTGATGATTTGGTGCAATACGTTCACGTTTTGGAGGAAGATAATGCCTATCTGAAACATTCCATGTCCCAAATGCTGCTCCAGCAAGAGGACCTGGAAAACAGGGAACGGCGCCAAAATATCCGTATACGTGGTTTGTCCGAATCTGTTGCTGATGCTCAATTGCACCACCATCTACTGTCCTTCTTCATCGCTACTGCTCCCATGGTCCCAGAGGCGGATTGGCGGATAGATAGGGCCCATCGCTCTCTGGGCCCTAAACCGATTGAGGGAACCAGTCCACGTGACGTTATAATCCGCTTCACACTACTTTCAAAGTAAAGAAGCCTTACTATCAGCAGCCCGCCACAAATCTTCTTTGGAGTTTAAAGGTGATAAACTCCAACTCTTCTGTGATCTTTCTCCGATTACTCTTGCTAAGCGACGGGCTTTTAAGCCGATCACCACACATCTTCAACATCATCGTGTCCTGTATCGTTGGGGGGGTTCCCCTTTAAGCTGGTGGTTGTTAGGGACAACACCCATGTTGTCCTCCGTGATCTTCAAGAGGCGGATTCTTTCCTTAAGCAGTTGGGACTTCCACCTCTACCTGATGATATGTGTCCTCGCCGCCGCCGCCTACTCCATCCCGCCCTTCTGCCACCCCTTCCAAGATATGGACACCAGTCCGCGGAGGTCGGAGGAGACGCACACCGCAACGTCCACGCCCTCCCCGATCAAGCGACCCACCTGCCTGATGATTTTCAGGGGTGACCTTTTGTGCCGAATTGGGTGTTTTGTTCGGCCATAGCCTTGCTGGGTGCATTTTATTTTGTTCTTGTTTTCTCTGGCCGGGTTTGACGTCCTCCTCCCGGAAGTGTCGGATGTCGTGCTGCCCTCGATACTGTCTAGCCAATGGCCTAGACGACTTGGGCTTAGTTGACGTTCCCAAGTTTATATCCTTGCGGATACCTGCTCTTCATTGTGTATTTTTTTCTGTTGTGTTATGTTTTCTGTTTTCTGTTTTTTTTCTTTCTACTACATCGATGGTAATTTTTCCATTTGTCATGCTAACACATGTAGCCCAGCCACTGTTCTATAATGGCTTTGAGGTTTCTGTCATACAATGTTAAGGGCCTCAATTCTATTCAAAAAAGGTGGATGGCTTTGAAGGAATTTCGATCCTCAGGAGCAGATATCATTTTTGTCCAAGAGACCCATTTCAAATCTACAGGCTCCTTTCGTTTTGCCTCGAGATTTTTTCCCCGTGCCTACTCGGCTTTTGATCCTTCTGGGAAGGCCGGAGCGGCAATTTTGATTGGGTCACATTGCTCCCTTCGGGTTGTTTCCTCCAAAGTTGACCGACAGGGTCGTTTCATTCTTCTGGAGTGTATTTTTGGTGAGACTCCCATAGTTCTGCTGAATTTATACGCCCCCAACACAGGCCAATTGCAATTTCTATCCCAAACACTCGCCGAACTGGATTCCTTTTCCACTTCGCAGGTGATAGTTGGGGGAGATTTTAATCTGATTCTTTCCCCCCATAAAGACAGGAAGGTTCTTTTTGAGTCCTCTCCCTCGAAGCGGCAATGCTCCTCTTCAAAATCCTTTCGTGGATTAATTAGGGAGCATCATCTCTTTGACGCATGGCGGATTAAACATCCTCTCCATAAACAGTTCACATTTTACTCTACCCCTCACCGTAGTTATTCTCGCCTAGACCATTTTTTCGTTTCTGCTCCATTGCTTCCACTTCTGGTATCTTCTGATATTAATCCCATTACTTGGTCCGACCATGCCTCTTTGACTTTAAACCTTTTTTTCCCCCTCTTATATCCAAACCTTGTCATTGGCGCCTTAATGAAACCTTTCTTTCCACAGACCATCTTAGAGATGAATTATCACAGGGACTTGATACTTATTTCACCCATAATGTTGGTTCCGTAAACTCCTCCTCAACTCTATGGGAGGCTCACAAGGCGGTTTTTCGAGGGCTCTGTATTTCTATGGGTTCTCGTTTAAAAAAGTCCTCGGCGAGTGCTAGGGCTTCCCTCATACAACAGCTATCTTGGGCGGAAGGTCGGTTATTGGCTAAGCCATCTATTCCTGGGCTCCAGAGGGTAATTTCTCTACGGGATCAGGTTAAAGCTCTTGACTCCAGTAGGACTGCCCTCCTTTGGGTCAAGCAGAAATTCTATGAATTTTCCAATAAGCCCCATCGTATGTTAGTCAATCGTCTCAAAGCTCAGTCCCCTTCCACGATGCCTGACTTACTAATACAGCCAGATAGAAGCCCCACTTACGATCCTCGGGCTATGGCAACTCTTTTTGGCTCATTTTATGGGAAATTGTATAACTGTTTAACCCCGGACCTGCACCCACCCCTCACACAGTCATTATTTGATAATTTTTTTGATACATTGTCACTCCCGAGTATTTCACCTTCGGACACTGCCACCCTTAATGCTGACATTACCCTAGAGGAATTACTGGACACAATCAAACTTCTCCCTTCTCGTAAAGCTCCGGGACCGGACGGACTGCCCTACTCCTACTATAAAACATTTATTGGTATTCTGGCACCGCATCTCCTCTCTCTATATCACGATCTTTTTAAGGGAATTATACCTCAGTCTGAATTTTCCCGTGCATATATCTCGGTCATCCCTAAACCCGATAAGGACCATTCTATCGTGGACAACTACCGCCCCATTGCCCTACTCAATTCCGATTATAAGATTTTCACCAAAATTTTAGGCAACCGATTGTCCGGAATCATCTCCAAGATCATACATAGGGATCAAGTGGGCTTTGTACCTGCCAGACATGCCGCAGATAACACTAGGAGAACTATTGATCTGGTTGATCTGGTTAACAGGTCCTCTACCCCTACAGTGTTATTAAGCTTGGACGCTCAAAAAGCTTTCGACCGTTTAAGCTGGCCTTATATGTTCATGGTCTTGGAGAGATTTGGTTTCAAAGGTCCATTTGTAGCAGC